TGCCTGTGTATGGATACACATGTTCCCAGTGGCAGCTCACAGGGGTACCTGTGGTGCATTTACGGTGCGGAGCTCCGAGGTACTCTGAAGGGCGCTGGGGCTGAAGTTGTATGATAGTGTCTATTGGCAGTTATTCAAGGGAGTGAATTCAGAATTTCTGCTATGGGGCAGTGCACCCCCGTTTGCACAATAGCACACTCAGCGAGGCTTGCAGTGGCTCCCCAGATCTGCCTGTGGGCTCTGGATGCCTGCCTGCTGGAAACGCGTGTCTGTGATGGCGCATTTGCAGCAAGGAGCTCTGATGCACCCTGAGGGGCCCTGGGGCTGAAGTTGTGCAACAGTGTCTATTGGCAGTTATTCAGGAGAGTGAATTCAGAATTTCTACTGTGGGACAGTGCACCACTGTCTGTACAATATTGCGCTGAGTGGGGGGCTCCCAGCAGCTCCCAGGGGCTGCCTGTGGGGTGGTGGGCTCCGAACACCTGCCAGCTGGAAACACACAACTCTGGCGGTTTGTTTGCGGCACGAAGCTCTGACGCACCCTGAGGAGCCCTGGCGTTGAAGTTGTGTGACAGTGTCTGTGGGCAGTTATTCAGGAGAGTGAATTCAAAATTTTTACTGTGGGGCAGTGTACCCCTGTTTGCACAATATCGCACTCAGCGGGAGCTTGCAGTGGCTCCCAGGGGCTTCCTATGGGGTGGTGGGCTCCAGAGGATTGCGCGCTGGAAATGCACGAATGTGGTGCCCAGAGGTCTGCCACTGGGGAGGGGGGAGCTTCACTTACTGCTGCGGGAGTGCTGCTCCTTTGGAGGTGGAAGTCCTAGGGTCTGTGCGTCTGTGGGTGTGGCTGCAGGATTTTGGCTGGAGTGGCTGCTGGGTCATGGACAGTGTCCAAGGGCTATCTCAGTGATGGTGTTGATGAGCTCCTAGACGAGGCCGCTCTCCCCTTCAAGATGGTGTGGGCTCCGTGCCTGAGTCCCGTGGTCCAGGGAGTGCCCACAGCGGTGGTAGTCTCTCCCTGTCCAGGAGAGTCTGGTATGCCAGCCCCTGGTACTCCTGTTGGATTTTTCTGTCCCTCACTCACTCACACACACACCACATGTATCCACACATTCTCCCTTCACCCTCTCACTCACTCACATCCTCTCCCTCACCTCTCTCCTGCCAGCCACTATCTTCCTGAGCACTTCCCTTTAGCATTTCTTGCATTACTGGTTTGGTAGTGATAAACTTCCTTAATTGTTGTTGTTTTTATGGTGTTTTTTTTTTTTTTTTTTTTTTTTTTTTGTCTGTGAAGCTCCTTATTTCCCCTTCAATTTTGAATGATAGCCTTGCTGGATAGAGTATTCTTGGATTCAGTCCCTTGCTTTGCATCACTTTGTAAATTTCCTTCCATTCTTTTCTGGCCTGATATGTTTCTGTTGAGAAATCATTTGATAATCTAACGGGAGATCCCTTGTACATAACTTTCTGTCTTTCTCTTGCAGCCTTTAAGATTCTCTCTTTGCCCTGAACATTTGACATTGTAATTATGATGTGTCTTGTTCTCGGTCTTTTCAGTTCATCTTGTTTGTGACTGTGTTTGTGTGACTTTATTCTTCCCCACATCAGGGAAGTTTCCTGACATTATTTCTTCAAATAGATTTTCTAACCTTTGTTACTTTTCCTGTTGTTCTTGTACCCCTAGTATTTGTATGTTGCCTTGTTTCATGGTGTCCTATAGCTCTCTTAGGCTTTCCTTCTGTCTTTTAATTTTTTTCTCCAATTGCAGTTCAGTTTGGGTGTGTTTTGCTTCCATGTCTTCTAATTTGCTAATTCGGTCCACCACTTCTCCTAGTCTCCTATTGAAACTTTTCATGATGTTTTTTTTATTGTAGCTATATCACTCTTCATTTCTTCTTGATTTTTACATAAGTTGTTGATTTTTTCATCCATCCGGTTTATGAACTGTATGGCCCTTATTCTGAATTATTTTTCTGACATATTGCATGCCTCTGTTTCACTTAGCTATTTTTCTGGTGATTCATCCTTTTCTTTCCTTTGAGGGTTTCTTTGTCTACATTTTTTATCTCACAGATGGATCTAGATGTCGAGTCATGCAGAGTCTGCTTCTTGGGTTGCAGTTGCTCTTCGGGTGGTCACAGCAGTGGCTGCTCCTCAGTTGGCAGTGGCTCCTCTGTTGGGTGCTGTTCACAGCAGTGGTGGCTCCTCTGGCTGGTGGGGAGAGGCTGCTCACACAACTGCTGCTCTCGGACAGGTGTGGGCTTCTCACGAGGCTGTTGCTCCTCAGATAGGGGCAGGCTGTGTGTGGTTGCTGCTCCTGGGACAGGGGCAGGCTGCTCGCATGGCTGCTGCTCCTCAGATGGGGGCAGGCTGCGCGAGGCTGCCGCTACTCATTCATGGGTGGGTTGCTTGTGCAGCTGCTGCTCCTTGGATGGGGGCAGGTTGCTCATACAGCTGCTGCTCCTTGGACAGGGGCAGGCCACTTGAGACTGCTGCTCTTTGGCCTGGGGCAGGCTGCTCGCGAGGCTGCTGCTCCTTGGACATGAGCGGGCTGCTCATATGTCTATTGCTCGTGTGGTTGTAGTTTCCTGGGCTTTCTACAGGGGTCCTCTGCCATTCCTGGCTGCAAATTGTCTCACCAGCTAAGTCTCCTTTGCCAATTTGGGGTGGCTGTTATTCATTTCAGCTACTCATTCTATCTCAATAACATACATTAAAAAATATTCCATACCCAGTTAAAGCATCCTCACCTTGGTAATCCCAGTTCATTGTTCCTAATCACTTTTCTCAGAGCATGAGCATTAAATATTTATATGTCTTCCTTCATTTCTGGACCATAGTCTCTGTGAAGACTAGGACTGTGTGGACAGAAGGCGATTCCAAGGAAAGCATATTTTTAAAAAATATATTTTTTATTGCTTTCAGAGAGGAAGGGAGAGGGAGAGAGAGAGAGAAAAATCAATGATGATTGAATCATTGATCAACTGCCTCCTGCATGTCCCACTATTCCAGGATCAAGCCCACAACCTGGGCATATGGCCTGACCTAGAATTGAGCCACAACCCTCTGGTCCACAGGTTGATGTTCAACCACTGAGCAACACCAGCCAGTGCCAAGGAAAGCATCTTAATGAGGAGAGATGTTTATTTTGAATTATTAGGTGCTTTCTAGGAAAGATGGCTGCCAAAGGACAGCCCTGGGCTCTTGGAAGATAAGGAAGCTAGGAGGGTACTAGGTTCTCAGAAAGAAACTGAAAGGCAGGAGACTGAATTAGAAATAGAGGTCAGGGAACCCCAAAGGTAATGTTGGCCTAAATGGTCAGGGTGGCTGTTGGGCATAAAATTATTGAGGGGGGAGCTATCAGGTGGCTAAATATTGGATTAAGTCCTGTTCCCCACAATTAGTTGTGTGACCAGTGTATGTTATTTAGCTATTCTGAATCTCAGATTTCTTTTACATAAAGTGGGAATGATTACAACACATAGTAATAGGAGCTAACATTTCAGTATTTCAATAGGTTATATATTTTTAATCTTTGCAATCACTCTATGAAGTTGGAATTTGGATCTGCCATTTTATAACAGAGAGACTCACTGACTTGCCTAGAATCAAATACAGATGTGGGGTTATATGGACTTGAGTCTAACCATCTGACTCTGGGGCCTGTATTATTTGCCATTATGCTATACCATAATAGGGGTCTGTGAGATGATAGAGATAAGCATAATTTTTCTTAAACCAAGTTGGCTTCAGGATGAGAGAGAAATAATATCAGAATTTGGGGACAAACATAAATTCTTTTCGTGTTTCTATTTCCTCCTCTTGGCTATGGGAAGCATGTTCTCCCAACCCTGCTATTTTTCTCATTGACCTTTTCTCACCTGAAATTAACCATATCCTTATCTTCAGAAAGAAAATTTCTATTTCCAAGTTAGTAGCCTTAATATAATTGTTGTGGAAGATGTTTTAAACCACACAATGTTAGCTTCTGGTGAAATCTTAGGAGTCTCCTGCTCTGTATACCTTGGATAGAGCATGTGAGTGAAATGGTATAGTCTCTAGGTCTTTTATGTTTCTAAGGGTAAAATTCTCCACCTTGTTGCTTCAATTAAAAAGAAGAATACCTTTCTGAAGAATTCTGGCAGGCTCCTGACATTGAGACAATGTAAAATCTCTGTGTTGACCCTAAAGGAACATCTTCCATTAAGACAGCAAAGGCAGGAACATCACACCAAGAACATTTTCTCCCAGGATGAATGTTTCACAGGGCTGAGAAAACTTTACCTGGTATACATGTCTTGTAGAGTATTACTAAATATAAAGCCAGAATAATGTCTTGTACATTTTTTTTCTGATGAATAGTGGAAGAACAGTCCCTTCCAGTTGACTTTATTGATGAGTTCATTGTCCCATACACTTTCCCTTAGAGTAGCAGTTCTCAACCTGTGGGTCGCGACCCCTTTGGGGGTCGAATGACCCTTTCACAGGGGTCGCCTAAGACCATCAGAAAACACATATATAATTGCATATTGTTTTTGTGATTAATCACTATGCTTTAATTATGTTCAATTTGTAACAATGAAAATACATCCTGCATATCAGATATTTACATTATGATTTATAACAGTAGCAAAATTACAGTTATGAAGTAGCAACGAAAATAATTTTATGGTTGGGGGTCACCACAACATGAGAAACTGTATTAAAGGATTGTGGTATTAGGAAGGTCGAGAACCACTGCCTTAGAGCCTTGTGATAGGAGACAGGTGCAACTGTCGGAAGCTTATAATCATGAAGTAACCTGGGAAAGTCATGTGTGTACCTTTCTTTGTGCAGAGTGAAGAGTGGGCCTATTACAGATTGAATTGGGTTTGTCAAAAGGATAAGTTATTTACATGGTGACAGATGACTGTAGGAATTGGTGGGTGATCACATTGTAAGGTATGTCAGATCACCATGTTGTACACCTGAAACTAATATAACCAACATAAAATTGTATACCTAAATAAAAATTTATCTCCTTATAGATTTTAGTGACTATACTTATGGGATAGATTAAAATTGCCATGATCTGAAGAGGGAAGATTTATTTGTGTCCTCCTCCTATATGAAATGGCCGAACAGAAAAATAAATAAATAAATAAATAAATAAATAAATAAATAAATAAATAAATTTAATTTAATAAAAAGAGGGAAGAAAAAAGACATGTTGAAGTCCTCACCTACACCATCTGTGAATGTGACCTTATTTGGAAATAGAGAATTTGCAAATGTAATCAATTTAAGATGAGAGCATTGGGTGGAACCCAATTCAATATGACTGGTGTCTTTACAGGAAGAAGAAAATTTAGACATCATAAACAGTTACAAATAGGAGAATGTCATATAAATACACAAAGAGACACAAACACAGACACAGAGGGAAGGTGCCCTTGTGAAGATAGGCTGCTACAAACCAAAGAATATCTGGGGTTATGAGAAGCCAAGGAGCAAGGAAGGATCCTCCCTTAGAAACTTTGAAGGGAGCATGGGCTTGCCAATACCTTAATCTTATAATTATAGCCTCCAGGACTGTAAGAGAACATATTTCTGTTGTTTAAAGCCACAGTTAGTGGTACATTTTTAGACATCTTTAGGGAACTACCTCCCATTCCAGAGGGACAGGAAGCTGGAGCTTGAGCTCTTGGGGAATGAAAGGTGCCCTTATGAGCTTCATAGCCACTTTTAGATGTAAGGTGATGACAAGACAGGAAGCATTTTTCTGGGACTCTGAGAGTTGGTAACACCCATGATACTCTTTCACACTGTACACTGAACAGTAAGGGTTGTTGGGCTGCTGGGCCCCATCCAAGGATGCAGTCCAGCAGCAATATGTCAGCATGAAAGCCACCTTTCTGAGTGTGAGTTGCGAGCTGTTGTGGATCAGGCTGCAGGCCACTCCTTTGCTCATCAGTGTGGCTCAGTCCTGATCTAGAGAACCTGTCATCATGGACTACAGGATTCCAGGAGGCAGCCTGGCCAGCCAGTTACCTTGACAATTTTATGATGTAATGCTTTAAACTCCTTTCTGGCTGCCAGTCTAATGAGATTCTAGATACTGCCAGCTTCTTCTAACCAGGTGACATGCAGCTAAAGTAAGAGCATATAACTCACTTTTAATGTTTCATTTTGTGATATCTATAGGTTGCATTTGCATTAACAATGAAAGGGGAGTCTGACTGTCACCCAGCTATATGAAATTTTTGCCCAGGGACCCAAGATTACTGCTGGCAGGTTGGCTTTTGCTGTAGGTGCCCAGTCTGGTTATGCTGAGAGGCTTTTCTCATTCTCCTTATTATGCTTTAGTTCCTGCAGCACTTCAGCAGTAAAATTGAATGTGACTCTCAGTAAGATGGATTTCTGAGAACTTTCCCCAATTATAGCATAGAATTACCCCAAGGGATTTCTTAGCAAAGTAGTTTTGTTTTCAGCCTTGTTTTTCCCTATAAATTTTTAGAGTTTTTAAATTGTATTTTTAAAAAGCGAAGGCACTGGAGGGAAGTCAACATCCGCACGTTGCATATATTGCTTTTTCTCATCCTTGTGGAAATTGCCCACAGGCCACATCCTGATTAGCCAGAGAACAGGGATAGGGGGTCTTTCTCCATCTGCCACTGCACTTGGACAGAGGCCCAAAGTGGGTACACACTCAGCTCTGTTTGTGAGAGATTTTATTTGCTTGTCTCTTTCAAGAGAGAGGATGAGCAGGAAGACCCCATGAGCTATCTTTTCAGTGTTGACATTGGTGTCAGGTATGATAAACCCAAAACACAGAGCTGGAGATGGAATGCCAGAGCTTTCTCCATGGTTGATTTGAGGTGAGAGCCAAGGGGCCTCCTTCATTGGAGGGAAGCCATTTTTGAGCAATCTTCTATCTGCTCAGATGGGCAAGGAGTCATGATACACTGTTAGAACATAAAGCACTGTGGCTGACAGATCAGATGCCTGTGATCAGAATCTCCACATCATCTTTGAAAGCCAAACTCAGTGTCAAAGCCAGGGGATTCTTTGTTCAGCCCAAAAGGGTACTTTGGAGGGTAGAAGGACGTGAAGTGCCATTTTTTGTGGTTAAAAAATCTCCTTAAACATATGGATACTATTTTTCAATGCCTACTTTTCTAATACCAACAATCATGCTGTCCCTTTGCTTATTTCTTTGACATGGTAATTTGCCATCTTCCTGACCCGGGAGTGTCTCACAATCTAGAAAGCAGGAAGAACCTGCTAAACAATCAAGTTGAATTTTGGTGGGGTAGTGAACAAGGCTTGTATAAGAAAGCTGCAAGACAGCATTATTCTATAGTCCCTGGAGCCCCCATCTGCACTCAGCCTGGATGTTGATTATCTGATATTCACACCCACTCTAGGCTGAAGCCAGAGAGGACAATGTCTGTCACACAATGTAATGGCCTTCCTTGTATCTCATCCTTTTTCTCTGGTCTCTTTTATCCCCTGGGTCCCTCCCCTTTTCTTCTAGGTAATGTCTTGAGTCTACCATAAAACTATAAACCTTATTGATTTGCTACCTCAGCATAACCTAGCTACAAAGTTTATTTTCTTTATGCCATGGAGGAATAAACCAAGTAGAGTCCTCCAGTAGAAGGAATAAAGAGATTTTGAATATTAGTAAGGCTCTGTGTTGCCAAATGCTTCTATTTAAAGTGTCAGAAGCCAAGTATAAGCTTAGTCTTTCCTTGTTCTTTCTGGAACAAATTATTTCCCAATTTTAATTGGACCAATTGGGTGAACATTTGAACTCAGAAAGTAAAAAGAAAAATTCATATTAATAGTTTTCAAAATATCACCCCATTATATCTGTCTCTTATTATTACTTTTCATAATTGGTTGTCCATTTATAAAATAAAGGTGAAGACACTTGATTTTATTTATTTTTCCCTATTTTCATTGATTTTATTGGGGTGACACAGGTCAACAAAATAATACAGGTTTCATGTGCACAATCTACAATGTATCACCTGTACACTGTATTATGTGTTCAACACCCCAAGCCAAGTCTCCTTCCATCACCATTTGTCACCCCTATACCCTCTTCTACCTCCTCCTATCCTATTCCCTCCAGCAATCCCCAAACTGTTGTCAGTGCCCATGAGGTTTTTTCTCTTTTTCGCTCAATCCCTCCACCTGCCCATATCTAGCCTCCCCCAAACAGCTGTCAGGCTGCTCTGTAAATATAACTATCTCTATTTTGCTTCTTAGTTCATTTTGTTCATTAGATTCCACATATGAGTGAAATCATATGGTATTTGTCTTTCTCTGATTGGCTTATTTCATTTTGCATAATGGTCTCCAGGTCCATTCATGCTGTTGCAAAGTATAAGATTTCCATCTTTTTCACAGCTGAGTAGCATTCATTGTGTAAATGTACCAGTTTTTTGTTGTTGTTTTTGTTGTTGTTTTGTTTTCTTTTCTTTTGTTTTGTTTTGGTTTCCAATCTTGGCTATTGTAAATAATTCTGCAATGAACATAGGGGTGCATATACTCCCTTGATTTTAATTCAACTGTATTTCTTATTAATTAAATCTTTATTGTTCAGATTATTACATTTGTTGCTCTTTTTTCCCCCATACTCCCTTCCACCCAGTTCCCACCCCACCCTCCTCCCTCACTCCCCATCCACTGTCCTCATCCATAGGTGCACGATTTTTGTCCAGTCTCTTTCTGCATCCCTCTCGCCCCTTTCCCCCCAAGAATAGCCAGTCCATTCCCTTTCTATGCCCCTGATTCTATTATAATCACCAGTTCATTCTGTTCATCAGATTATTCACTTGATTTTCAGATTCATTTGTTGATAGATGTGTATTTGTTGTTCATAATTTGTATCTTTACCTTTTTCTTCTTCTTCCTCTTCTTAAAGGATGCCTTTCAGCATTTCATATAACACTGGTTTGGTGGTGATGAACTCCTTTAGCTTTTTCTTGTCTGTGAAGCTTTTTATCTAACCTTCAATTCTGAATGATAGCTTTGCTGGATAAAGTACTCTTGGTTGTAGGTTCTTGGCATTTCATCACTTTGAATATTTCTTGCCACTCCCTTCTGGCCTGCAAAGTTTCTGTTGAGAAATCAGCTGACAGTTGTATGGGTACTCTCTTGTAGGTAACTGACTTTCTTTCTCTTGCTGCTTTTAGGATTCTCTCTTTGTCTTTTGCTCTTGGCATTTTAATTATGATGTGTCTTGGTGTGGTTCTCTTTGGATTCCTTTTGTTTGGGGTTCTCTGCACTTCCTGGACCTGTAAGTCTATTTCTTTCACCAGGTAGGGGAAGTTTTCTGTCATTATTTCTTCAAATAGGTTTTCAATATCTTGATCTCTCTCTTCTTCTGGCACCCTGATAATTCGGATGTTGGTATGCTTGAAGCTGTCCCAGAGGCTCCTTACACTATCTTTGCATTTTTGGATTCTTTTTTCATTTTGCTTTTCTGGTTGGGTGTTTTTTGCTTCTTCATATTTCAAATCTTTGACTTGATTCTTGCAATCCTCTAGTCTGCTGTTAGAGTCTGTATAATATTCTTTATTTCAGTCAGTGTATGCTTAATTTCTCATTGGTCCTTTATCACAACCTCAAGGGTCTCATTAGATTTCTTAGAGATCTCATTAAGTTTATCAGCAGTTTCTAGAAAATTCTTGAAAAACCTTAAAAGTGTGGTTTTGAACTCTATATCCAGTAGTTTGCTTTCCTCCATTTCTGTCATTTGTGTCCTTTTTCTTTGTCTCTGCATTTTTTATGCTTCCCTGTGTTGATAAAGTGGTTTTCTGTGCTGAGTGTCCTCTAGGGCCCAGTGGTTCAGCCTCTCCAATTACCTGAGTAGGGTACTCTTGGTGCACCCCCTTGTGGTCTTTGTGCATAGTCTTGTTGTAGTTAAGCCTTGATTGTTGTAGTTATCACTGGGAGGAATTGACCTCCAGGCCAATTGGCTGTGAGAATCAGCTGTGTCTGCAGTGGGAGAACTTCTGTGCTGGAGACACCCCTCTGGGAAAGACTTGCTTCAATGGGGCTTTGGTGCTCACTGAGTCTGCCCCCTCAGTGTGTCTTTTATGGTTCCACGGGCTGAAAACTGGATTGTCCCACTCTGA